CCAGCACCTACTTCCTCTAGTAGTATCGGGTTGCTGCTTCTAAGTGCATGGACATAGTTTCCTGTTTTGGTCACTGCGTGACTGCAACGACGAAGCACCAGTTCAGTCAGTAACGCGAAAAGTCAGGCCACTTGCACGTGGACGAGCAACACGGCTTTCCCCATGTTCGGTCGGCCAGCCATTACATAGACAGCGAAAGAGACCAGATGGCGAGACTTTGGGGTTTGCCACTATAATACGGGGTTAAAAACTACAGTTGCCACGCCATATTTTACATTCTGCCACCGTATTGTCGGTAAAGAAGCAGATTACAAGCAGGCGATATACTCCTCCCGATCGGTTTTCCGTAGATAAATTGGCTGATGGCAAATGTTAATGACAGTGGAGAGTAGTCAAACTTTTGACCTACGGGTTTATGTTTTTCGTTTGTACAAACGACGATCGTGATATCATCGAAGAAAAACTAGCGTGAAGTGGAAAACTAAACAACAACTGCCACAGAAAAAAAATGAGGTGATAAAAGATCAATACACGATCATACTGCGCGCGAAATATGCTTCTGTAAGCCATTAATAATCCTGTAATATTGCCGTGCGTAGTAGACAAGGTTATCAGTTCAGATGATCACCCGAAGGCTACGTAATTCTATATGACAGAGTATGACCAACATGTCTTTCAGTCCCGCGAGCCATTTGCAACTCGCGGTTTCCAGCTCTGCTTGCTGCAGCAGGACTAGCCGTGAAGAAAAACGTAATGGGGTCAATTATGCAAGACAAAAAGAAAATCATATTAAGCATAATAGTTCCCATAGGGGTGCGTTTAAAGAAATAGTTGTAGAATGCACTTGGCATCCACGTCAGAAGAACGGTGAGTACCATAAAGAAGAAAACCAGAAATTTTCTTGATTGTCTTCGCTGTTGTCCTCGTCTGTAAAATCCACAAAACCTATTTCCTGGATCAAAAAAACAAAAATTTGGTTTATCGTCAAAACGAACATGAACTCAAAAATGCCTCTTTACTGAGGAATCAAGAAAAGATAAATCAGATTACCAGGTAGTGTATTGGGTAACGATTGACTGACACCATTCACCGTCTGTTTTTTGGACCGCCATGTTTTCCAGAGAACATACGGAAAACTGGCCAAAATCACCCAAGTCCACGGGGTTACCAAATATCTCATAACGGACGAGTACAGGGGCAGATTTCGCGCTAGCACTCTCATACTATCATCGCACGATTCAGCACCAGTGTAGCTGGATAGCCCCACGACAGTTCCCGGGATGCGCAGCGCAATATACAGAATGTTTGTTACCGTACAAAGAATTACAGCGACCTTTCTGCTATGGTGCAGCCTATAAAACCTTGGCCAGGTGACCGCCCAAATACGGTTTATCGCGATGAGCACGTGTCCAACGGAGGTCATTCCCTGAAAATTCCATTCGTGTGTAACGTGTACCACGCAAAGGGAAAAGGTTTCATATGTGGAATGTCCAGTAGCCAACATAAGTGCGCTCGGAATTGCGAGAACCATAGAGGTTGCTTGTATTAACAGTAGCTGGATGATGTAAATGTTGAAAGGCGTATGAAGAGAGCGGTGATATCCGTAGTATCCCAGCACAAGTAACGATAAAACAAGGGTAGCGGCGTATTCTGGTAAAAGTATAAGTGCGCGCAATCGCTGGTACTCCACGGTCGGATATGATGCATTATTGCGAAGGGTGAAGTTCACAAAGGCGGTGGTATTGGCTGTTGTGCGTACTATTATCGGGTAAGCCATAAATCGGCTGGGAAAAAAGGGTGCAAAAACGCCGCCGATGCAGTTTACTATGAATTACGTTTTGAAAACTGGGTATTGTAAAATGTTAAGCTGTGCGCAAGGTCATCGTTAATTTCTGGTCGTCGGGAGAAGTATCTCAGAAAAGTCAGGAAAGTGTAAAGAGCAAATTTAATGCGACTGACAAGACATAATAATGAGTGAACCATATCGACATTTTGCTTCCTAGTGCCGGATGCGCTGAGCAGTAAGCGCTGAATTTCCCAGTTGTAAACGATACGATAATAAAATTAATAGGAAACTCAATATCCTGTATGGAGTTAATTGAAGCACGAAATTACGCAATCAGCTCGTCGTCAATTTAATTTATTTCATCTTGCATTATTTACGCTTTTTCGGGACTGAACGTTGATCTGTTTGATTTTGGAGTCCTTAAAGGCTGCAGCGGTTGTTTGTCAAAGTGCTTGCATGTTACAACACAATTTTGCGCTTCGTTTGTTGTAATTATGATATAATTTATTAACTTCCTATGGGCAGCCGACGAATTGTTCCTTACATATTAAATTGTTAATGCTAAAGAAAGAAGCGTAATCATGTGTAAAAAATTATTATTAATTATTAGAAACACTTTCGCTGTAAATCTACCGTAGCACAAGAAATCTACTAACTCTGACTCATAAGCATACCAGTACATACTTAGGCTACTGCATACTTCGTCGTAACTTCGACAAAATTCCATAATTCGGCTCCTCTTCTAATTTCGATCCCATAATATTATTCAGCCTCCCGGCTAGTTGAAAATGCATTACGAACAACCACCCTGGTTTGCAGACTGCACGATTATGAAGTGCACTCGATCCAACTGCTCTTCAAATTTTTCTATTGGTCCTGAGTTAAATCGTGTACATACTGATGCTATACCAAGTTGAAGGCGAGCCGGAATACGTAATCTATCGAAGTATAGCTGGATGGTTGCAACTTGCAGTCGGACAATATGACGCTTCACATTGTGTCATTGGGGTATAATTTATTGATATATAAGCGAAATATAAGTGTCATGGGGAGAGATATTAGCGGACAACAGAACAGCACCAAATTCATGTTTCATTAATAGGAATTCGGTCATAACGATTAAAATAAGGCGACGATGTACCAGGGCATAACATCGCTCCATACGAACGGAGCAATTGCATTGGTAAATCAGCGGACTGGACGCACAGCACTTGTGCAGCTGTACTGAGCTTTTTGACAGCGTGAATTTCCGCTCGAGATTGGCGTATTCTTCGAAAATACAATGGCGCATCCCATGACGGTTGAAATATTAAGGGTATATGTTAATAATAGTGCTGCAATGCTGGTCACCCGTGGTATACTCGTAATATTTCTGACAATAATATTATATTATTATCAAAAATATTACGGGTATACCACGGGTTACTAGCACTGTAGCATATGACATGAGGTCACAATATGTTAGTAATCAGAACAGGTAAAAGTTTTTGGTTAGCTTACGATCCGGCTCGGGCGTGGAAATGGTTGAATATGATGCATTAAACGCTGCTTTCTTCGAAAATATATTGGCACTCGTCGAAAATATTTTGTTACAGCGTCGATTGCATAAGATTCTGCGTCGACGACGCAGAATCTTATGCACGCTGGACATTCGGCAACCATCTTTGGCACGATTGGCGGAGTGGATAGTTAAAATGAAGTTTTTCTGCTGTGAATACTATCACTTTTTATTTTTCTTACAGTGTCGATTAGTAATGAAAAGAGTGTTGCAACACCAACGAACTGCTCATCATCATTTCTGTAACATTGCGGATCTTCTTATCTGTAAGGCTATTGTAGATTAAGTGTCCCTATCGATTCTTTACGGCTTTGGCCACCTCCACAAACAAAGTAAATGAGCAAATCATTTGTTTCTTTGCTCCATAGTCGCTCACAGTGTTGTTTCACAGACTCGTTGTTCTTTTTTGCCGTCAATGCTTAAGCGCCGAATTAATAGTATTTTTTAGAGAGGCGCGAATTCACTGTGTCCTAACGCAACCGTTTACCGCATTTTCTACTATATGGAAGCAAAAGAAGCTCATTTACAGCTTCAACGATTATGCGTGCTTGCTGGCATTACGATGAATTTCGACTGTTCCTATAATTGTAATTGACAAGAAGAAAAACAACCTTACTTGTGCAGTGAAAGTACGGGTACACAGAACGTGCGAATCAGTCATGGATTGTCACCTCCATGATACTTTCATTGTTTGTTTTTGTAGCTATATTGCCAGGGTATAGTTGGGTCTTATGGCAGTCACAGAAGAAGCAAATCGGTGAATGGATTAAACGTATGATAAATTATTAGCGAACGTATTCGTAGAAAACCTTCTGCCGCTTTAACAGAACAACGCTAATCCCATCATATTTAATGATTTCAACGCTTGTGGCCAAAACGCTTGCAAAAAGATACCAAAGGCAATAAAGTGTTCTGAACTTCTGATTATTACTGACACTTTGAGACCTGGCATGCTTCTTCCACACTTGACTTACCACAGGCTCTTCGCACCGGGACGACAAGGTTTAGTGGTCATGACTCTCCTGCACTATTGTATACTTCCGTGGCACTGATTTATGACTGAAGCGAAAGCCCAAAGCAACACGCCGTGTCTGCACGGCTTAGTGCAACGAGATATACTGAATGTCGCAATATTCGTAGATGTCTTTAAAGTCGCCGCAACCAAATAGAACACTTTACAATCTCAAAAACAGTATAAATGATGCAAGGCACCATGTAATTAAGTTTACGGCAGGTGGTTACAGAATTCCCTGACGTTATTAACTTCATACCGGATATTAAATTTTTAATTAAACGTCATGTTATTTCCAACGTGGGCAGATCGTTGCTCGGAGCTTCCGGCAGTAGAACGCAACTTTCTGATAAACGTCTTCGGTTATTCTGCGTTATAGCTGAGCAGTCATTATGGTGCTTATACTGTTCTTCATGATGAACTATCTTGAATGACTTGTCCCCACGTACCAGATCATGATTATACGTGTTGCGGACAACCATTCTCACCCAAGGTTTTGCACTCTAAACTAACAACTAACTTGCTGTTTCTTGCTATTGACAGTGTGCCTTAGAATTTTTTTTAAGTCTTTCAGGCACTGAATAATTGTCTAGATTCCGCACTTTCGACGACTATAATATTACCTTGCTTTTGATAAACGATCTATGGCGTACCCGACAGTAAACACCACAGTCAACAACACCGCCTTCCTGGGCTTTACCCTTCGAGACAATGTGTCAAATCCGACCTTGGACAGTCAACGATTACGTGCAATTATATTACTACCCGAGTACTCCGCTTCCTTTGTTTTGTCGGTATTTGTGCTGGGATACTTCGGATATCACCGCTCCCTGCACACTCCCTTCAACATTTACCTCGTGCAGGTGCTGTTAATACAGGCAACTTCCATGGCCCTGGCAATACCGGGTACGTTTCTTTTGGCTGTTGGGCGTTCTTCCTACGAAACATTTACCTGGTGCGCGATCCACGTAATACAAGAATGGAACATCCAGACGATGACCTCCGTTGGACACGCACTCATCGCCATCAATCGTATCTGGGCTGTGACATGGCCAAGGTTTTACAGACAGCACCATAACAAAAAGATAGCTGTAGCTATCTGTACGGTGGCCAACGCTTTGTTTATCGTGTTACGCATTCCGGGAACAGTCGTGGGGCTCTCCAGTTACACAGGTGCTGAATCGTGCGATGACAATATGAGAGTCCTAGGACGCGTTCTGCCCATTTACTCTTCCGTGGTAAGAAGCCTGTTATATCCTTGGGTTTGGCTAATTCTGGCTAGTTTTCCGTATGTTCTGTGGAAAATATGGCGATCAAAGAAGCAGACAGTCGGTCTTGTCAGTCAATCGTTACACAATACCTTACCAGGTAATTTGATTTATCTTTAATTTAACCGTTTGGTAAGAAGGCCTTACAGTTAGCCATTTGTTTTCTAAAGATAAATGTGTTATTCTTGCAGCTGCACGAGGTAACTTGTGCTGCGGATTTCGTGAAGGCAGACATCAACGAAGTAAATTTATGGTGTACTTCTTTATGGTACTTACCATCCTTCTGACTTGGGTGCCTGGTGCTTTGTATAACTGGTTCTTTCAGCGCACAGCATTGGCAACTATGATGCTAAATATGCTCTTTTTTTTGTCTTGTGTAATTGACCCCATTGCGTTTTTCTTTACGGCCCGCCCCGTTTCTGTAAGCAGAACGAGAAACCGTCCGTCTCAATTGGGTGTCGTAGCAAACAGAACAGTTGGGAACTTCCTGCCGTGTCCGTAGCCGCCGCTTTAACCGAATCATAGCGTTGATCAATGATCTTGTCTACTCATGGTCAGCCTCTCAGTGCAGGAAAACCATTCTGCTTCAAAAGAGACCGTTCTCGCGTTGCTATTCTATTCACCTCGATTGATTATCTGTGGTAGAGTACTGTAGATGTTGTTTATTTCCCCACTGCGCTGATTTTCGCTTTTAAGTTCATTTCATTTATGTTGAAATAAAACATTCTTCAACAACTTTTGGTAATTGCAGACCTAGAAATCGAACGGCAACGCAAAACAAAACAAAACAAGATGCAATATTTTCACGATGCATTGTGATAAACTCAGCTACGAACAACCGCGCAAAGCAGGGCATTCCAGATACGGTTGTAATAGCAAAATCCACAACTTGACGAACTTTAATATTTGCCGGCGTTGCAGCGCATTTGAAACGTATACCGATTAAAAAGTATTGCCTCATATCAGGAATACCGGAATACAATGCGCAAAGGATTCACACTTTACAATATTTTTGCTGTATAGGCGTACCTACTAAAGAACATTTAAGCCAGTAAAGCCATCGCTCCCTTTATGGTATTCGAGCTTGCTACATTGACTGTTTTTACATCCTTGCTGTTTTTGCATCCTTTTACAAATTTCCATAATAACTCGTATCCGTTTTTCAAATTTTATAATCATTTTAACATTTTGAGCTCTGTTGTGTGGCGACACTATGGTCACATGCCGAAAAGGGACACATACCAATAGTACCGGAAATAACTTTTGAGATCCATGTCTGTGTACGTAACAGGCTTATTTTTTTCTCGGGTGATGAGTTTTGTATGGCGGCATTGGCGGACATTTATTTTCCGAGGTCACAAAGCGAAAGCGTCTCTGATATGAAAGCAGCATATCGTTCCCTTCTAAATTCGGTTAAGGTTTATCTGCTTAACTGGAATTCCACTGGCCAGACTGCAATGATTCATCATCATGTACGGCAGAAGTACCGCATAAGTGCGCCGGTTTATTACTGCAGTATCTGTATTTGTTGCTCCAGATTTTGTTAACACGATCATTTTTGCATCAGCAGCTAAGCCTTACTTCCTTCCTGCAGTTAGGTTCCTGTTACTTCGCATAAAGACAAAGAAATAATTTCCTGTTTTGATCGGTGCGCACTTGTAACGAACGACGAGCGTGAATAATTCATAAAAGAGAACAGACAGATTATGTATGATATCGCTTGCGCACGTGGTACGGCATAGACTCCGCGTACTGCGACGCCCTAGGCTGTGCAGCAACAAAAAAGAATCAGGCGGCATGACATCGATGCCCGTCGCGAAACGCCAGGATCGGGTCACGAAAAATCCAAAAATCTTGATGTTGATCGATCAGAGTTTGCGCATGAAAATGTAAATGGGAAGATCGTCTTTCTACCGTTCTAACTGTTTTGTTTTGATTTTCAATATGAACTACACCAACCATAAACTAAAATATAAAATCCGAGTTTCGAAAAGGTAGCGGAACTAGAAATGCAGTCCGCTATAAAAGAGATATATATTTATCCGTACCTCAGTATAAACGGAATGCATACACAGTAAATGTGTATCAAAGTGGAAGAGAATCAGTTTGTAATGACACTTTTGGAACACTTGTTTGAACATTTTTGAATGTTATGTCATTCAGAACCGAGCGCAAAAACCGTTTTCACGCCTGTAAAGGAAAACTGATTTATTTGGTTACGAGGCACAAAATGTGATACAACTAAATACCAAAAAAAGGCTTCGAAGTTCGAAGGCGCGAAAGCAAAAATTCTAGTCTGTATACGCATAATTCTAGTCTATATACGCGTATATGTACCAACACGCTTCCTGAAAGACCGCTTCTTGCAGCCTTTGCTCAAAGCGACAATTAGAATAAGGGGCAGTTCTTCTGCACTTGTAATCTGTTTTACTGACTGTGATGCGAAGGCCCTTTTGATTTTTACCGGAGATATTAGATTAGAATGCGACAGGCACACAGCACAACAGGCAAGACAGTTTCACCCTGACACAAAACCGAAACACATTCGCAATTATCCGAATGCAGCAGGAGATAGCGAGGAAGACAGCTTTCAGCATCCGATGAGCGGATGAACTTAGAAATAATATTTATGAGCGGCAACAAAGCAGGTGATGCAGAAGGAAGAAACACGACGCAAGCTGAGAGTTAACTGGGGCATTCTGACAGCACAAGAACGATTTATGCATATATATTAAATGCACCTGTGTGGGATGCAGCGCATAAATCGTTCTTGTGCTGTCAGAATGTCCCAGTTAACTCTCAGCTTGTATATATGGAACGTTTCGTACCAAAGAAAAAAATCGGAACGTTTTTTTCCGTCTTGTAGTCACTGTAGTCATCCGTAGACAACCTGTAGACAGCCTGTACACATCCTAAGGAAACTTAAGAAACCAGGTGGCTACAGTATGTCTACAGTGGTGTCTACATATGACTACCGGTGTATATAAGCAGAACATCGAGCTGAACTTAAGAAGGGCTGCCTGTATACAGTGGTAGACATCCGTAGACAACCCGTAGACACCCTGTAGACAGCCTGTATACATCCTAAAAAACCTAGCGACTACCGATAGGACTACAGGGTGTCTACAGCCTGTATACAGATGTCTACCGTGATTACAAGAAGAGAAAAAACGATTCACTTTTTTTCTTTGGTACGAAACGTGCCACAGGCGGTATTTACATGAGTCGGCAAACTGTCTATGCAGCTTGCGTGGTTGAAGTAGCGTATTATTAAAGTGATTTTCTGAATGTACTTATTTTTATGTATAAGCACATCCGATGAATATGATAGCTAATACAGGCGTAGTTGTGTAATTATTAAATCGTTGCATTTTAAATTTAACGCTTGATTTACTTGCAGTTGTTGTCTAAGTTATTTAGATCACAGCTGGAGGTTCCATTCTCCACCTAAACTGTTAGCAGTTCACCTTTCCGAAAACAGTTTAGATGATTATGTGGATCAGGATACGTATGCCTTTTGCATTATAACTTCTTCTTTGCCCAATTATACCTTTGTGTATATAGCGGGAGCGAACGAACGAATTCCCACTACCCACACGCTTAATCTCAGATTCGAATGTCGAAACCGACCACAGAGGTCGGTGAAGTATAACTTTACATCCGAAGGATAAACCAGAAGAACCATTCCGGCGACCGGATTCTTGAGTGGCAGCTAGCGACGATTCCGCTAATATGGCCCAGAACACGGCGCTGCGCGTGTTCGCTCCCGCTCCCTTTGTTGCCAAAGCTGCAGGAAAAAAGGGCACTCTGTGACGTCCTGGCAGCGCATTTCTAGCGGGTACCATGATGCCTGGTCTAATGTTGACAAATAGAATTTTTCAGAACGGGCAACGACGTCATGCTGTCTGGTCTCTTCTGGTCATCTCTTTATATGGCGGATGATCTCAAGATGGAAGAAACGTTAGCGGTACCACTTGACACTTGCGGGGTTGAAATCTCTGGTTACATGGCTTTTCTCTTTACCGTTAAAACCATGCCCATTATTCATTAGTCGCGTATTGCTCATAACAGGAAGTTATTTCCTTGCGTTATGGGAAGTAAAAGGATACTGGTAAAGAAAATGACCTTGATGCTGACGCCAAAACGGCCCAGTTAACTACATCAGTAACTCGGGATGAAAAGCCGCAATGAAATAGAGCAAACAACAGTCGTTACCGTTTCAGTCACAACAAATTTACCGTTTCAGTCACACAAGCCGGACTCGAGAAAATTTTGAATAAAGCTTAATAATATTATATTGATCTTTAACATTTTTGCTCTACCTGAAGGCTAAAGCAATAAACCAAACTACATATTACCTTCGCTGAAATTAGGGGCACTGTGCCAAACTTTTATCGTATCAAACCGGAAGATTGCACTCTCCACAGCTTTTGTTGAATTGCACGTGTAGTAAATATCAGCATTTGAGTGTCACCTTACAACGTGTGCAAGTGCCGGTAAATTTTTCTTTACGAATTGGATGGACAATTTTATTGGGAGTTGGGAATAGGTCCTTTAGGAACTGAATCTTGACGGGACTCAGAAATTGCCACTCTTTCAGCTCAATTTTATCAGCAGCGAAAATGTGGTTAGAAGGAAGAATGGTGTAATTTTGATGGAACATACAACATTAATAGCACTTGAAAACAAATCATCCTAAAAATAAAATAAAACAAATTAAAAAACTCCTTCCTCTTAAGAAACATCGTCTTAAAAAAAGTAATTTTAGGTAGCTTGAGGTTTTCATAATATTTAAGTGTCAAAACATTGAGTTTAAAAAGAAATTTAAAAATATTTGAGGAAATGAGGCGCTTTATCATTCAAAAAATTCGCGAAAACAAATCAGCCGCGAGCACAGCTAACGTTCGTGCAGGGATCATGTGCCTTCAGTCAACACCCGTGCGGACTTCAAAAGGTCACCCGTGCACCCAGCCACAATGATTAAAATAGTATTGTTATTTCCCATCTTTATGCGCGGCAATTTTTTGAAAAGAATGCAGCTTACTCCTGAATCTATATCAGCACAATTTTTCTCATACAATGCAGACCGAGATGATAGAATCTCCCACTCGAAACCTAACCAAGTTTTTTTTGAAAATATTGTCGAGCTCCGTTCTTCGCAGTGTTCCGCCATGACGACGCTTTTCTGACAAACAGGATGATTGCTAATATACTTCGAATTACCGGATGCAACATGAAACTAATTACAGGAAGCACAATTTGCAAAACTGGAGGAAACAATATGTAAATAACCAGGGAAACAAACCTGTAAAGACCAAGTGAAGCGATGGAGGGCGCAGTGTCTGATCGTTTCCTTTTAACAGTGACGTTCGTTTAAACGATTCGTACTACTGTTTGACCAGAATGTGTACTCGTGTTTTTGGTACTGACACCGCGCACTATCGTAGACTGCCCTGCAGTGCAGAATTGAGGACCTGTACAGCAGTTACCGAAAGAAACCGTGTCTAGTTCAAAATGTGGAAATGAACTGCAACAGAACTCAGTACAGAGGACTCAGGTAATTTTTTTATATATTAATGAAGCCTTTTATTTGAAATATTAGTGAGACGTGAGTATCTGTGACTAATTAGGTTAGAGACTTATTTATTAATGATGCTACAGTCTATCATTGCATGAAATACAAACTGCACATGCAGTTGACGGGTATATGGACGGGTTAGTCATTAGTGAAGAACGTCGACTTTTATCTGTCATCGACATGCGCATGATATTTGGCATGCGAACAGTTATCGCAGGCGGCTTAGCCATCGCAGCCAGCCAACTGTTATTCTTGAATTTTCCGCCTGTTCCTTAGCTTTTACTATAGACGGCAGTTAATTTGCCTTGAATGTCACCTTTGCTTGAATATTACCGGTTCAGTATTCCAGACAAGAGACGTATTCATTGGCTGTTAAATTGAGCAACAACATTCGTCGCACTGCTTTGTCAAACCCACCCAATCGGTAATGAGACGTAACAGAAGACGCACATAGTTATTGTGAAATTTAATTCTAGTATACACCCCTGTAATCTTTAAATTACACTATCACGGCTGACTGCAGCAGCTGGTTATAACAACTATAAAAGTAACGACAAATTGTTACAGACCCTGTTTAATGTCTACAGAATATCAATGTGCAAGAAAACATGGTAAACTGTTAAAACTGCGAGCCTGTAAAATGAATACCTTACTGTCCGAAAATTTAACGTGCAGTAACTGTAGTAACTTTACTAGCGCCATCACGACAGCTGCCTCATTGTCGCACGCCTTAACGGCTACTGTAAGTACCATTTTTATTGTTACGGTCACCTACAATCTTCTGTTCATAACAGCATTTCTCCAGTTTCCGAAAGTTCGCACGCCCTTCACGTGCTTCATTATCAATGTGTCGGTTTGTGATCTCGGTCTGGCGTTGTTCAGTATGTCGGGCTTTATCTGGTTCACTGCTTTTCCTGCGTCTAGCCCGAGTTACTGTCCCTATTACAACTTCTTCAATCAACATTTACTGGTGGCAATCGGCTACACAGTGGTGCTGGTTAGCACAGATCGACTTCTGTCTGTGTTTGCTCCCGTGTACTACAAACACAATCGTTCTCTGCGGTCGTCATCGATCATCTGCGTTGGTATGTGGATCTTTGTGATTGGGCTGGTGACGCCCATGGCCGTCATGGACAATCTCTGGTACAATACGATGACGTTGCCGTGCTTTATCAATTACGAAGCACAACCAAAGTATACACTTGTCATGGAATTTGTTGGCTTTGATTTTCCGCTGTTATTTGTCTTGTGCAGCTACATTGCCATCTTCACCAAGCTGTCACGAAGGCCACGTAAAACGAGAGTCGGTAAATTCGAAACTGATGCGAGATACATTAATTCTTACTACTACACATTTTTTTTGGTGTTCAGGTGCACTACCGACAGATGCGATGGAATCCGGAGCAACGGGATCAACCCAGTCCAGTATCGGCGTACCAGATAAACGACGTAACAGGCGAATGGCGGAAGAAGCTAAGAAATATAAATTATTCACGCTGCTGGCCATTTGCGATCTCGTCTGCTTCGTGCCGCCTACGATCTACTATTGGTCCGTAGAATTTTTTGATTACTGGAACGATAACCTTTATGTAGCAGCTACTTGTCTGCAGTATCTGAGTTGCATGTTTAATCCCATCATTTACCACTCCAGTTTGCCCAGCCTACAAAAAGCCATAAAGAACTTATTCCGTTGTTAATGCATATAATGCCCGATAGCGTTTATATGCAGAACTACTGAAGATAATTCGTGCGGCGGTGGCTTTTGGCTATGCCTACCACCTGGACACGCTTCTGTGTATCAATTTGTGATTTTAGTATTTTCAGTACAACAAATTAATCTTCACGTCGTCTGTCCTCGAGAACACATAATTATATATATATACGTTCTGTTTCTGCAGTTCAGTGCTGGACTTAAAGCTCAACGAGTTAGTCACAAGAGAAACTTAAGTTTATGCACATCCAGGTCATATTAGCAGTGCTTCGTCGCGATTACGCATTTATGACCAGTCCTAATAACTGGTTTGCTATTATCGGACGGGACGCGACATTATTGCAGTACGCACAATCTCCGTAATAAGCGGAAGTAGGGCATGGACCTATGAGGCTAAGCGAGGCAATTAAGAGCGCAGGGTCCATTCAGTTCCCGTTTTCAATGATATTCGCTTGTATAGCGATCCGTATTAATGCCTCCGTTGTTTGCATGACTTGCTTATCTTCGTATGATACCAGATGCAAAAGTTCTTCCAAGTGTGGATTATGACGAAGTACTTGGCTGACGGAGTGACGCCAAGCAAATAACCGCTGAATTCATCACAATCGATTGTACATCAACATGCACAGTTATTTTTTTGCGCTTCCTTCAGTCATCTGATCTAAGGAGAAATTTCCGAAGACTTGACTACCAACATAAAAACAACGTTAATAAGAGAACGAGAAAGTAAGCCACAGCTATTACAAAAAGGCGAGGCGGTAGATGAGTAACAAGCAGTCATACTGCGCACAAAACGATGCTTCTCTGCATAGTGAAAACATTGCTGCACTCTGATGCGTTCTAAAAAAGGTCATTAATTAATGTGCTCATTCGGCTACAGCGGCTCAAAGAGGGTGACTAAAAGAGCTGCACATAGTTATGTTCGGCTCGAAAACGGGGCTTTGCTGCATTCGCACGATATTCCCACACTGCGAATTTGAGATGCGCAGTGAAAAACTCACCAGTTTACGTAATCATTGGCTAAATCCAAGGCTTCAGACACGGCGCAGGTTTGCCCAACTTTTCTCTTTGTGTAACTAGCCATATGAGATCAGCGGTTTCTAGTTTGGCTTGCTTGGACAGGATTGGCCATGAAGAAAAACTTTGTGGGGTCAATATACATGACGAAAAAAAGATCATATTATGTATAATAGTTCCCAAGGGTTCGAAGAAGTAGTTTTAGATTGCACTTGGTAATTGGCATCCACGTCAGCAGAACAGTGAGCACCATAAAGAAGAACACTAGGAATTTTCTTGATTTATTCGCTGTTGCCCGCTTTTACAAAACCGGGCAATACCGATCTCCCCGGCCAGCTATTATCAGCAGCACGGCGCAGAGGCTCACAATAGTGAGGAAAATGAGACTTTATTGTGTGATAGCAATAAAGTACAGCACTGTGCGTGAGCAAAATCATGACTGAACAGGAATGAGCGGCTGAATGAGCCGTAACATGGAAAATGCCTATTAGCACTGGGCTGATCCAACACGAGCGAACGAACGCTGATTGGCCGAGACGTATAGCCGTATGCGTGGTAAGGCGTAGCCGAGCCAGAGTCGAGGCTGATACGGCGTACGAGAGCGAGTGAGACTCGGTGTGAGTCAGCACACCGGAAGCGGGACTGTCGCTGGCTGCCTACTCGTAGGCTGCCATGGCGACTGGCCCAACATGCCTCTGGGCGGGAGTCCGACCCCCTGCGAAGGACCGGCCTCATACCGCTCCAGTGCCCGCTCCGCACACGACCCTATTGGGGTCGGTGGCTGCGCCTCGGTGGTGTCCGATGAAGGTCTCTCGGTGCCGCGTTCTCCTCCGGACCTGTGGTGGCGATACAAGTCACGGCAGAAATCCGAAGGTCGGTCGGGTTTCTTGCTGGACCGGTTTAGGCTTCCGTTGATGAACATCCGTAACGGCAAACATGAAAGTAAAAATATAGCATTTATCTCTGTCTCTCTCTAGTTAACTTCTAATTAAACATCATTTCAGAATTAGCAAACAGTAAAACAAAATCAAAGTCTTTGGTCCGGGTGCTCATTCCGACAAGTAAGACGCCCGTTCCCGGGGTCTCCTGTCCTCAAGGTGTCCGGTTATCCAGGTCCGAGGCGTCGGTTCTTGGGATACCCGATGTTACCGGTTTAAACTTCGCCGAGGGTCGGGTAAGAAACGGGCGCGAAACTTACATCTGACCGGTTGACTTTGGGTAAGGTGTGGATCTCCGTGGCCGGGGGAGAAACGGGCTTGAAACTCACTTTCCGACCGGGATCCTCCGGTTAAAGTTGACTGGAACCTCCGTAGCCTTGTAAGACGGGCTTGGACTTCATCCAGCCGGGGCTCATAGGGTTAGCTGATGGGGGAGGCACTGTCGCAGTTTGCGAATACCGTAAGGTACCCTCTCTGGATGCAGGATAAGACCTATTGGGTCTTTTAATCGGTGGATCGTCCGGTGAACCGAGGTTCTATCTGGGCATAACCGTGATGCCGTGTCCTTACACCTATTGGGTAACAAGGACCGGTTGATGCCTGGTTTCCACAGGTTGAGTGGCTGGTGGACGTGGCTCGCACTGCACCGTGCAGTGTGAACCACGTTCTGGTCCGAACGATGTTATGGCCTCAGTGCGGGAGTCCGACCCCTCATCCGGTTGGCTTCAGAGTTTTGAAGTCCGACCCTCGGTGACCGAGGGTCAGGCCAGCTCCGGTTGCAGAATCAGAGTCCATGCTCAGCCTCGGTCGCTGAGTCTAAATCCGTGCTCAGCCTCGGTTGCTGAGTCTAAGTCTTTTGGCAGCTTCGGTACTCGAGTTAGAGTCCGGGTTGTGCCCTCGGCTGCACTGGCATTGAGGAATACTGATGTCCCGTCCGGCTGAAAATCCTAAGTTCGTCTCCTGTCACCTATTAGGTAACTCGGAGAGGATATTCGCCGGGCTTGAAGGGTCAAAGCAGCCTAGGTACTCGAGTTAAGTCCCGATTCACCCTCGGCTGTGCTGGCAGGTCGTGATTGCGCGATGTGCTGAATGTTCTGTCCGGTCAGAAGTCTCAAATTTGTCTCCTGTCACCTATTGAGTAACTTGTAGAGGGTGGGTATCCCAAGGTCAATTAGCCTCGGTATCCGAGGGTCGATTAGCTTCGGTATCCGAGGGTCGATTAGCCTCGGTATCCGAGAGTCGATTAGCCTCGGTATCCGAGGGTCGATTAGCCTTGGTATCCGAGGGTCGATTAGCTTTGGTATCTGAGGGTCGGTTAGCCTCGGTATCCGAGGGTCGATTAGCCTCGGTTGGCTGGCAGGTCGCTGTTGACGGTCTGATGGTCGCTTCATCCCGGCAAAACCCTTGTTATCGGTGTAAGTCGCCTATTGGGCAACTCTACCGAGGGTTTCACCGGTAAGATAAAGTCGCTACCCGGGACAGCTTCCGTGTCCGGGTTGCTTTTCTTCGGTAGCAGAACGTGGTAAGCCGCGAACTGCAGACAAATAGCGTTAGTTCGGGTGAAGGCCCCTTTTTGGGCCAATCGTGGTTGAAGGTCGAGGTTTGCAGGGCTGGTAGCAGATGTGGTTAATGACACGATCTGTGCCAATGGGTATTGAGCACTGGAGGATCCGAACATTCTGACGGATGCTGTCCGGAGGAAACCGCGAATAACGCGCCGGTACGGTGCGAGCTCTGAAATTCTGACGGCCGCACTCATGTTTACCGGGTCCATCCGGGGAGTCCGTTTCTTTGGATTCGGAAAATAAACCCTCAGAGGGTGCAGTTGAACTTTAGGCCACCCCACCAAGGGTCAGACTGGACTTGGAATTTTCGAAGAGGGTTGAGGTTCAAATACCGTATCCCTTATTGAGAGTCCAGTTGGGTAGCAGAACGTGGTTAATACGATCTGCGCTTCCGGTCCATTCTACCACTGCTTCTCTTATTGAGGGTCCGTATGGTAGAAGATGCAGTTAGAACGCGATTTGCGGGGGTTCTACTGTCGTGTCCCTTATTGCGGGTCCGGCTAGTAGCAGGAACGAGGTGGGTGCCGATAATCCGCGGTGGCAAGGTCCCTATTGGGGACATCGTCGTGACTATTTTCAGCTAGTTTTATGGTGAGCTTAACCCTATTGGGGTCCGGCTACCATTAAGTTCCAGTTCACCGAGGCTCTTTTGCTGTCCGATGTCTATCGGACCTATGCTGGGCTTCCGGCGTGCTTCGGTGGCCAGCTTCCGTCCGTCGGCGCGATTTTTCAGACGATGGTCCGGGGCCGGTTGAGCTTTTCTGGGGTCACTACCACCATCGGAGGTTGTACCGGGGGTTGTCTCGGTACGATATTCGGCTGAAGGCTGATAGGCTGAGGTGCCCTGTTGACCGGTAAGCTGACTGGTGGTGTTGACACCGGGGCTTTGATCCTTGTAAGCTGGGCAACGTACTGAGCTCCGTCCGGTCCGGTCGGTATGACCGTCGTCGGCGGATGAGTCGGCGCTAACTGCTCATTCGGGAACCTATTGGGTTCCGCATTGAGCGATGGTTGCCGAATATTTGCTTTTACGGTCCTCCGCCGTTCGTCCTCGCGGAATTCCTCGCGACGTTGTTCTCGGGCGTTAACCAACTTCGGGTTCTGCGGGGGTGGTGGGGTATGTTCCCAGCCTGGTTCATGAGTACGTTGACGGTAACGGTGCAGGTCCCAAAGATGCAACAGAGGCTCTCCATGCAACTGGTCTATCGCTTGTTGGTGACCAACCAGATACAGGTACGCGCTCAGGTTTCCAGCCACAACTTCAAGGAATAGGGTGTTGGCTTGATCGACACGGTGAGCTCTTCCGTCCGAAGACTGTTTATCCAGCCGGGTAAGAATGCATTCTGCGCAAGCGTGCCGGGAACCATAATTGCGGTTAATCGCGCCGCAACGTCTGCATTCCGGGTCATAGACTTCTGTCCGGTTCTGCGAGTAGAGCACTGAAGGGTTTTTGTTAGCCTCGGAGA